GTACGGAAATGGTCCATGAATGCTACCGCCATAGATCAGAAACTGATTAAGCTCTTTGAAATGTGCCAAGTGTTCGAACTCCGTTCGGATCTATGCCAGCTGAGAAGGCTTATTTCGCGATTGTAGGTCGTAGGTAAGGTAATGTGGTTCAGGAGCGGGGATGCATGTTGTAGCTGAGTTATTCTTATTCTTTTCACTACGAAAGATAAAAGAAAAGAGAAAGTCGTCGAGGAAGCTCAAAGGAAGCTCTTTCTGCACTTGGCTTCGGCAATTAGACGACTTGAAAGAAAAATTTGGACGAAGAAAAATTTGAAATTTGGACGCACGCGGATGAGCGAACAGACCGATCTTCGCCCGCGAGAATGACAATGAGTTGTCACAAGTATGTACTTGCAGATGTAAGAAGTTTTTGTTCTTGAATTGCATTGGTGGCAATGAAAATCGCTTTATCACGGAAGCAGAGTGCACCCGCTTTTGTAGCAGTACAGGTAAGAAAAAAGCGGTATGAAGAATGGACGAGCAAAATGATAACAAGTCTTATTTAGCCTGCGAAGCTGGTCAATCTCTAGCTGTATCCTCGTCGGGAACTCCACTTATATGCGAAAAGCCGTCCGTCTGTCCAAAAGGATACAAATGCGTCTACGACGAGCTCTTTCGAAGGCATCATTGTTGTGGATACCCCAGTGGTAGAAATACAATTCTTGTTCAGTTTTTTAACAAAAATCTCCCGGGCAGTTCTGCGACGGAAGGGGCCATCTTGCACCTCTGCTGCTTCATTAGTTGCGGTTTGCAAACCTCATTCTAGTAGAAGCTGTAAGCCCTCGTGAACTCATGTAATAGCTCAGAAAATGAATTACGTCATGAATCCACAACTGTTGACAGATGCTTTTTACAAGAGTTCATTGCTGGGCTCTACAAACTTTGGCTGGTTTGTGGAGCCCAGCGTTTCGTGGCTTCATAAGATTTCACAGGCCTCCATGAGGTGGCTCGACACGTCCCTCTCCACCGTCATCAAAATGCGCCGAATAATCCCCATCCTTCGTGTTTTGCAGCTGGTTAGGTGTATACTATGCAAACACTTGTCATGTTGGTTCATGGGGGTATGATCTGTCAGCCAAATGATCAGCTGATTTTGAAATCGACATAAAGAGAGCTCCTAGTGACTGAAAACATTTGTGATCACCCCCCTCTATTTCCCAGAAAACCATTTGTATTTCCGCTGGGTTACTTTCATCCATACCGCGAGAAGTTAAGGCTATGTGCAGATGATTTTCTAGCTACCCCTGGGGACAGCGCATAATATTAGCGGTGACGATCGGCATTTACACGATTCGCCAGGAATAAGCAGGCTGGTGGAGAATAAAGTGACACCGGTGAGGTGAGGAACCCGTAAATCAACGGTGTTGCGCTTTCACAGTGGGTCTAGAAGCTGTCCATTTCAGATAGCGTTTGTCCCGTGGACTTCGTATAGATACGGCCCTCTTCTTGGTACAGGCTCAGCTATGCATTGTACTCCATCAGTTTACTCTGATCCCTGTCCCGAAGAATTTGTTTGTATAGGACACGGACAGAATGGATATTGCTGCAAACCAAAAGTTAGATTGCTCTTTGAAAAAACCTACTTTGTTCAAGATTATTCGAATGGTATTCAAGAACAGTGAACACATAAACAGTTAACATTCGGCCTGATTAGCTCGGCTATTCTCTACTCCTCCCTCTGAGTGGCACTGGCGTTCTTCACTGACGGGGGGGGGGGGTGGGAGGCATTTTTGTATCATAATTGCGTCCCTGTTTCCCTTCCGGTTTACAAATCTCACTCTGGTAAAACTTGTGAATGCTTGTGAAGCTGGAGCAAGATCGTCTAGCCACCATCCTAAAACGTGTCAACTCGATAAAAGGGTACCTAGATGGGGTTGGCAAATCTATGAAAAGCAGAATGCCCCCGTCGATAAACAGAGCCGGCACTCGTTGCTAACCCAGGCTAGACTACTGCACTTCAGTGCCACAGTGATTTGAATCTACTTCCATTTTGAGCAGATTACTGACGTCTTGTGTGACTGTCAAAACATGTTCCCGTGACGGGTGCAGGTCTTAATAAGCCTATTCTCCAACCAACTTACCCCTTTCAAGAGCACTCGTCTCCTTTTCTATGCTTAATAAAGCAATATTTCACCTTCTGATCGTCGAAATATTGAGTGGCTGCTCCTTCCTAGCAACAGTACAGAACTACAACACGAGAAACCGCTTTTTACGATTTTTGTTCCATAGAGGAAGAACGAGATCCAGCTGGTGGCTTTTCATCCTGTATTCCAAGAAATGTTTAGAGATGTTTAACTATTAAACCCTGAACTTTCAGAAATGTTTAGAGATGTTTAACTATTAAACCCTGAACTTTAATGTGAGAAGTAGCAGCGCGTAAGTGTTTCCTATCTGCGTCAAGTTAGCGCCAAATGGTGAAGCATCTCAAAACTAATGTCACGTTCGTGAAAAGGTCAGCCTTGGTGGTGGCCCAAGGCTTGCAGGCGAATGACTTTTAGCAGGCTTTCACTCGCAGTCTTGAAGATATACCTGTGTGTCTTCGAGATGCTCAATATGTTACAGTGCAGAAGAAGTTTTTTCAGATATTTGTCCTCTTGGGCAATCTCCAGACCTGTCCGCCTCATCAGAACACCCGGTCAAGTGCAACCTCCAAGCTGTGAACGGTACCTGCAGCCATGGATTTGAGTGTATCACCCCTTATAGCGCATTGTGGGGCTTCTGTTGCTCCTCCAATATTACAGGTGAGCCCTCTCGATTGCACGCAAATCCACAATAAAGACTGCACAGCTAAGAAGTTGAACTTAAAGTTAAACAAATGGTGGAGTTAATACTTCAGGATGGTGCCCACATGATTCGCGGCCATTTCTAGACCCTGATACAGGTCAACCGCAAAAGTGTACCGTTCAAGTGACTACGTGCAGGTAATCATTCACAAACGCCAATAAAGTGTGTCGCGTAACCCAGTCTTGGCGATTTCGATGGTCGTTGGGTTTGCAAATCACACGCCCATTTTTGAGTTGGCAAGCGCGAGAGGCGACTTGCGACCTCTGCAGATTTCGAGTTTTGCTCGTAGCTCAAAAGGCGATCTTGCCTTTGGGAAAAAATACAAGATCTGTGCAACACACGATAACCTAGCGCGAGCATGCTAGTGGTGTATGAGACGACTTCGACTTAGCATTATCTCGTCATTGGTGCAACCCTACTTTATAAGACGGTAAAGAATAGGGGCTTGTTCTAATGGTATGTCTGAGTCTCTGAAGTGGGTAAAATGGTATGTCTGACTCAACCCACATGATAGTTTGCTTCAGAGCGGGATGCGTTTTAATATAAGCTTCGCTTCTTGCTAATGCAGACGATCATCAAAAAAGTCTGTTGATTCAGTGAATATCGACGGAGCTCAAACGTACTCTCGTGAACAATTGTTGAGTAGGGAATATGTCCAATTTAAATGAAAAAATTGTGGGGGCCAGGGCATTTTCCCCTGTGTGACGTCATACAAATTTCTGCTTCACAAAGGAGTTCATTGACCGTACTTTCTGTTAATAATCCTGCATACTGTACTATACTTGTTCCGCACATTGCAAATGCTCGCCGGACATACCGTGAGCTGCGGATCCTTAGGCTTCGCAGCTTCCCTTGTTCGTCATCTCTTAATTTCACTATATCTCATAGATGATCGTATATGTAGGGCAGTCCAAAAAAGACCCTTTTCTTCCTCGTCTTTCAAGGCATATAAGTTACTCTTCTTCGAGTTCTGACTGGACATTTCCACCATCAAATTATCAACAAATTCCTCACTATCATGATACTGCGGCCAGCCGCTTCTGGACAAAGCAGCGCCATCGAGAGATTGTGCCAGGCGACCGTGGTTCGGTGCCTGAGTTCAGCGAGGTCGTTGGTTTCTCCGCCACCGTGGACCACCCTGTTGAGCTCCTCCCCGACACGGTAATCGAGGGGGGTCAGGTGAATGTTCCATCTTTTTCAGGCTTCTCGCCCTTCGATTCCAAAGTGGACGAGAGCTCTTCCAATGCACTTCGATTTCATGTGCTGCCACCCAATCCAGTACCAGTACGAAGTTTCCAGAACGGTACAGGCAACGACATGAAGGCAAAATATACTCCTCGAGCTGTTTGATGTAACCGTCAGCGGTACCTCCAGTCTCCGGGTCCACTATAAAATAAACAGGCTTTGATTCCAGGAACTTCGATCCATAACCAGCGGCCTTGGCGATAGGATGAAAAAAGGTGATATCCTGACGTAGCGACGTTGTCGGAGTTGCTCGATGCTGGGGGTCTTCCAGATCAAAAGTGCTGGTCCCCAAATAGCTGCCCATAGATGGCTCGATACAAGAAGTTCCGCAGCTGTTGGGAGGTGACATGAATTCCAAAGCTCTACTACAGTCAAGCTGCGACTGGAGTGACTTCATATTTTGGTGTACATGACCGTGATGGACGAGAGCCTGCTCCTGCTTATCGAGGAACATTTTGCATATCTTCCGCCTTGGTACGTCTCCTGTCTGGGCTGCGTAAATTTTACTGATATGTGACTCGAACGAAGTGCCTTTTTTGCCCCCCCCCCTGTATGTTTCTACATGCTTTGAATGATAGCTAATAGCGAAGGGGTGGGGATGTAGTGAAGGGTTATTTTTTATTGCAGCAAGTGCCCTGATCCTCTCCCGATTTCCAGCTTTCTCTAGTCACGTGAACGGAATGCATTTGGTTCAGAGTCCCATCCGCTGGGATGATGGGGCGTGCCAATGAATGGGTACAGCACGGTAATAACTGGTGGAAAACGGGCTGGTAGCGCACCAAACCCAGCCGCACTGACACGCCCATAATCTGCAGCGAACAAGAATGAACGTAATAGGTAATTATTAATCACTTTGATAGTGCGGTACTTTTTGCTATTATAAAATTAAAGGTAATGTAACATTACCACTGCTCAAAATTTGTCAGCGTCGGGTGTTAGCTGCGCAGGTCAAAAGAGTCAGTTGTTGGATTCTGTTGTCAAGATTCGTCTACTACTGACTATGGTGAGTTTTTTATAAGCAAGCAGGGATCCCAATATTCGGCTGATTACAAGACGTTTCTTCCGGGATTCAACGTGCGTGGCTCATCTCCGGGAATCGAAGTGCTAGCACTTTTATTAACTGCGTCGGGACACACAGGCCTTATGGTACGGACTTACTTTGATTACGACATTTGAACTTCTACGATATTATCTCAGGGATATAAAGCTTCAATGAGGGAAAAAGTGACAGGAAATGGGACGCTTACCAAGCGCGCAGTCCGGGGATCAAATCTCGAATCGGCTTCCGCTCAGGCCAAGCAAGCACCCAACCCTCAGGGAACACCCCAAATGTCTGGGAGGAAAAAAACTAACGTTCTGTTCAGCTGCTGGCCCCCCGCAAGTCACAGTGAAGGCCACATTTAAAAAGCATTGCATTCAAAAAGCCACTGCGATTACTGAAAGAGAAGTAAAATGTGTGGCCTTCGTCAAAAAAAGGATGTGGATCAAGTGACGACTCGTTCCTTTATTCCTTGTGGCGCTTAAATGCTCGCGTGAGGCGCTGTAGCCTGGAGCCTAACACAACGTGCGTATGTTTTTTTTTTATCTTTCAGAAAGACGTCATTGTTCCGCTGGGAGAGAAACTGAGCGGTCTATACTTCGACAATATGTACCGCTTTATAAATACAGCACCTTTACCAACCATAAGTAACGGAATTTCTGTCATAACTGTGAGAAACTCGTAAACTCTTTTCAGAGCCATCGGGTGCAAAAACGAGGGAGTCACGTTGGTCGCAAAATCTCCAGATCGCAGAAGGGCTAACATCGGCTATAGAGCACAGTAAGTGGAAGATCTCTCCAGCTAACTCATTTTATGAATCTTACGACGAGCTAAGATATGAGGAGTTTTTTATGAAATCGCCATTGGTCTTTACCTGCAAGTTTGTCAGGTCCACTGGATAGTACGCTTCTTATCAGCATCCTCGCTAACATGCCTAACAATGAAGCCCTTTTAGGTGATGGAGCCCATTTAACTGTCTGTTGCATGTTGTGGAGGTTTACGCGGTGACAACAAAAGTGTAGTCCTATTTTGCTGCGCGCTTCTCCGTTTCACACATCACTTCGCCGTTAACCGTTACATATCGCTGGTTCCCCCTACGACCTTGTGAGCCACGCACATGGAATTTTTTTATCTACGCTGCCTAGTTTGGTTTCTCGGGTGGTGCGGGAAAGTCTTCAGCGCTGTGATATAGGTAATTCTCAATCGCTTAAGCACCTACACGTGAGTTAGGAAGCTTCTATATAAACACGAAGAAGGCCTAGGGCACACTTTCTCCCTGTTTCCCTGGATTTCCCCCCGTTGTTGTAGTAACGGGTGACATGGCCATCGTCCTCCCTCGTACCACGGGAATCCATGCGCAGCCTTGTTCGCTACAGATGCTGGGCGTTTCAGAACGCTGGCTTCAGCGCGGCGCAGTCCCTTCTCCACCAGCTGGCGAAGTGGACACGCGACAACAACGGGGAAAAAACGGGCTGACGCCGCCACCCTTAAGCGCCCCCCCTCCCCACCCTCAGCGAGCACAACAGTAGGGAGTTCGGTATCTGCGCCTGTGCTTCACCATTTTATGGCTGGCATTCAAACCATTTCACTTACCTTGCCCAAAAATAATCCCTGCTAACTCTGCTGACAGGTGACAATCGGCAAGCCAATGATATACTACCGCGATCGCTCTTCTCCGATATGATGACCATCTTGACGTGCCCAGATACTCTTTCACCTTCATACTTCGCTGATTCTCAGCTCATCATTGAATGCACGGAAACGGAGCAGCTGAAAACCGCCTGTCCAGGTAATGCATCCTATACGGTTCGATGGG